CTCCTCAATTTCCAATTCTTTGCCACCACTAAAAAAGATAATTTTGTATGTATGGGTCCTTTTCCTTTTTTGTTTTTTATCTCTTTGGGTTACAAACCTAATAGTGGTATTGATGGATCAAAGGGCATGTGTGTTTTTATAGCCCTTTGCGTATAGTTCCAAATTGCTCTACAGAATGGAGGAATCAATATACCACTTCACCAATAGTGCATTAATGTCTCAATTTCCCCGTATCCCCTCCAACATTTGTCTTTTTTCTTTTCTGTCATATTAGCCAATCTGTTAGGTGTGGGGTGGTACCTCAAAGTTGTTTTAATTTGCATTTCTCTAATCAATAGTGATTCAGAACATTTTTTCATATGACTACAGATTACTTTGTATTTATATTACTTTGATTACTTTGTCTGAAAACTATATTTCCCTCCATCCTATTTTCTCCCTGTTTATCCTACTCTCTCTCTCCTTTCACTTTGTCCATTCTCAAAAGTGTTTTGCTTCTGACTTTCACTTCCCCCAATCCACCTTCCCTTCCATTACCCTCCTCCTGGTACCACCTCCCCCCTTCCTCTTCTACTTTCTTATATGGCAAGCTAGATTTCTATACCCAACTGAGTATATATGCTATTCCCTTTATGAGCCAATTCCAATGAGAGTAAGGTTCATGTACTTCCCCCACCTGCCCGTCTCTCTCATCTTCCCCTCCCTATGGAGGATTTATGAGAGGATATAGACGAGAGTCTGACAGGATGAACAAATGTCAACAGGTTTTGAACTGCATCACTGTATGTACTCAATATGGAGCCACCGACGTCTTCAAGTATAGTCATTTGCAAGTACCTTATCTTCCTCGTGTAATGTCCTTGAGGGCACGAACAATGTCTCCCCCAAACTTTATATCTCACCAACACCAATCCAGTGCTCTGTATATGGTAGGTACTTAATGTTTAAACTAAACTGGAATCAATCCACAAGCATTTATTTAGTGTCTCTTATGACCAGGCACTGTCCTGGGTGCTAGGTATACAAAGACAAAAATGAAACAGTCTATTATTCCTTCAAGGATCTTACATTCTATTCTGAAAGAAAATAAGGTTGCTGTGAATTCGATCACCTAGGCAAGAGTCTATCCAAGTGCAGTCATGTAACCAAAGGAGCACAGATTATGCTTATACTATGGAATTTCCCTTTACACTAGACCACAGCAATCACGGGATTCATAGATTCTGCTTTGCAACAAACACCCTTACACATTCAGCTGCCATCATTCATACCAATACTAATCTTTTATTTCTGCTTTGGAAATCTGAATTTGCTCTGGCTCCCTGAACCATCCATAGCTCAAGTCTATCCCCCTGACTTAACCAAACGTTTTCTCTACAACACACTCATGAAGAGAAGAGTGACGAAGAATAAAGCTGAGGACATGAAGGTGGAGCAAAATTTAGGAAATGACTCAAAGACAAGAAATCAAGCACCAGGGGTCAGATAAAACCTTCAAGAAAATCATTCCAAGCAACACTGGGAGACTCAAAAGCTGGAGCGTAGAAAAGGACTGTTTATATATCTGCTAGAACTCAACAGCAAAACATCACACAGAAATGGTATTACATTGTATGAATCTCGGTCTTTTTCTGAGCAGGAGGGAAGAAGAGGGAATTGTTTTTTGATAGGGAAGAGGGACTGGACCTTTGGATCCCTTTCCTGCATTTCTGCATTTCAATATTCTAAAAAAGAAGAACTGAATTCATGTTAGTACGGCCAAAGGAATGGCTTTAAGGAGGTAGGTTAAAAGCAGGTAAAGCTAAAGGACTGTGTTTATAAAGATAATGAACTCCCAATGAGCCACAGTTGCATTCAGACAGTGTATGTTTGTACAGTACCTCTTACCTTTTTTTTTTTAAACCTATGAGCCTAAAAGCTTCCAGAGAGCATGTACTGTGTTTTCATGGACTCTCTGTAAAGGTATGAGTCATCCTATTGGACGCTGTACATTTGCTAATGACATTTTTCAACACTTCTAATAGACCAACAATAAAGCCCCCAATCTGGAATAACAGAATAGAGTCAGAACTTGAGAGATGGAAGAGAACTCAAGAGAGCAGCTGGCCCAAGTTCTCACTGAACAAATAAGGGGGAATGACTTACCTAGGTGCATAAAGCTAGTTAGGGGGAGATAGGACTAGAATCCAGGTCTGCTATTCACTTGGCCAGTGAATTTCCACTATACCACACCAAAGAAGATGCTGTCTGTCATATTTCCATTGACGAGCCCACTTCAGCAACTTCAAGTCTCTAAGTTATTCTTCTAATAGTGGCATTGGGTATACAATGAGTGACTGATTCAGCTATACTATTTGCCTAAGGTCCCTTGTGTCCAGCAAGGAGGGGATGGGGGATAGGGACTGGACATGTAAGTTCATTTGCTTAGGGAACACCTACGTGAGGAAACGCATCCCACTGCAGACCAGCATCATCTCTGCACGTTAGTGCACTGTGAAGTCAAATGACTGGCTCAGGGCAACACGGTCAGTACGTCTCACAGGTGGTCCCAGATATTCTTGGCTTCAAGCCAGCTTCTCCACCCAGTAAGTCATGATGTCTCTTGCAAAGTGCTAGGTACATCATTAGCCTCAGAAAGGAGGTCCAGGTTTTCCTTTATGCAAAATTATCTCACTGTAATATGTTAAATATGTAATGGTGGCAATGGGCTATAGTGGAAAGTGAGCCCAGGGATGGAGCCAAAAGACTTGGGTTACAATTATTTGTGTGACTTTGGGCAAACTACTTCTCTTTCTTAGGCCTCCATTTCTTCATCTTAGAGATGAGGAAATGAGCTAGACCATAGCACCATCAATTTTGAACTAGGAAAAACCTTAGAGATCATAGATGATCTCTTACGGGCTTTCCAGGTGTAAACCTAGGATTCTATTATCTAATCCAGAAATGTCACACAGGCAGCTAATGGGCTGTGTGCAGCCCACTAGATTCCTGAGTGTGGCCTGAACCAGATTAAAATGCAATTGGGAGACACTTAACAAAATTAATACAAATACAATAAAACATAGATAATGTTAGTACTGTACGTGATTTTCTAAGACTAAGTCAATATGTTCCTCAAAGGATCCCGTCCAGCACTAAATCCTATGAGTTTATAATTCTGGAAGAGCTTGCTTCTAATTAAATTCAAACAAAGAAACATTCATGGTGTGCTTACTGAAGAACTTAACACAGTTTTAAAATACTTAGAAAAAGGAAAGGAGGAAACAAGGACTGTGTTGGCCTCCAAGGTCAACCAGTATGGCTCTGTAACTGTAAAGGTGACTTTGAGAGCACCCTTACGCATATCCTTCTCTACTCCTCCCCATTTCCATGTGTTACTAGCTGATGTGGAACCTTCTCAAAACCAGCACTTTAGGAACAGAATTCTTCATTTCCTTTGGAACTAAAATACCTCTTGTTTCTTGATATACAAAAATATCTTCAAGGTGACTCATGGAACTTAGGACACATGTTTTCAAGATCTTGAATGAAGAAATTGATGAGCCCCCTGGGTCAAGTACAAGCAGATTAAGAGCTCTGCAAGAATCATTTTGCCTGTCATTGAAAGCTCCAAACACTTTTCTTTCAGGGACCCAAACAAGTCAATTGACATCTTAATCTTTTCAACAGCAAACTACTTAGAAACTGAAACCATAACACCATCCTTGCCAGTCTCCCTGGGAAAGAAACCAAGGGACATGAGAAGAAGAGGAAAGGGAAGGGAATAAGTATTTAATCTACTCTGTGGCGGGCACTTTACAAATATTATCTCATTGATTCTCACAACACCCCTGGGAGGTAGATACTACTATTATCTCCACTGTATAGTTGAGGAAACTGAGACTGAGAGTGGTTAAGTGACTTGTCCAGGGTCACATAGCTAGTAAGTGTCTGAGGCTAGATTTGAATTCAGGTCTTCCTGACTCCAGGCACAGCACTCTATCCATCCTGCTCCATTTAACAGTGCCAGATCAATAACATTCATTCATTCAGCAAAACATAAATTAAGCATCTGCTAAGTAGAACACCCTGGGATAGGTGTTAGGAATACAAGGATAAAAGTCCTTGTCCTTGGGTTCAAAAATGCTAAAATTCTAGATAGTCCTCTAAGAAAACAACAACAGCTTCTCAGTTTTCCCATTTATTTTAGATTAAAGGGAACATTTTAAAATATTTTGATAACTGTTTTTTAGTATGATGTGTTTCCTTGGTAATCTTGTACATTTTATTCCATGTATTTAAAAACATTCTGAGAAGGGGTCCATGACACTAGCAAAGTTAAGGACCTCTCATCATCCTTGTCCCACCCCACAACAGCATGAGCAACAAAAACATGCATAAACATCACTTGGTAGACTCTTCTGACCATGTGCCACACGGACGTGGCAGGAAGAGGACCTTGACTCTGGATCAACAACAGTCAGATAACAGGGTGGGCATCCTGTCTATGAGGTCACTTACATATAATTAGGTTGCATGGCTCCAAAGACCTTAAATTGTCATTTTTAGCCCCAAACCCAAACATCCCAAATGAGTACTCTTCTCTTTTCCTACCTGTTGTCACAGTCAGCTAATTAATATGTCTTTTCATATTCTTGGCTCTCAGAAAACTGGCTTGTTACCTATTAGAATCAATATGTCTCCACCAGGGGTGGGCCTCTTATGTAATGTGAGGGCTGCTTGAGAATATATTTATGTCTGTCATCCACAAAGAGGACTGAGAAAGCAAAATGTGCATAAAATGTCATCATGCCTGCTACTTCATCAGAAACGGAAGGCAGACAATGCTGCCAGTTGGGCCAAAGGAGAAATGTGGATGGCCTAGAGTCAATGTGGAACCTCAGAACTTCTTTGTTCTCTGTTCTACGCCAATCATTACAAATCTAAAGGGTATTTGCTTTCATAACCACCTAAAAGTGAAATAGGACACACGTAAAAATTGACACCAATCACAGTTTTACCTTCTGACTCTGAGGCCCTTCTCCCTCATCTGAGGCGCCATCTTCTTGCTGATCATAAGCAGGACCTCCCAGAAGTCGAATTCTCTTCTCACACTGTTTCTTTGCCACAGTCAGCTGGTTAATATACCTTTTCATATTCCTGGCTCTCAGGAGGTCAGCTTTCATTGCAGCTGTCTCTTTGCCTGTTGGTGGAGCAACAGACAGGGTCCAATTAAGGCAGACATGGTACCAACAGGCAAACTCACAGTATCTCCAGCTCAAACCCATATAGGCAGGCTGACTCAGCATTTCCTTCTGGTATCCTCAATTACTGTGAATTCATCCAACATGGTAATTTGGTACTTCAAGGATCTAATATTTACTGAAATAGATGCTCATTTTACACCAGAACTCCTCTGAGCCTTACTGGGCAGTCTTCAGCAATTACTGTGGACAAAAATATTCCTCTCCTAGTGGTCAATTTTTTTCAAATCACAAGTCTCTCTGAATGTAGATACACTGGTTCTCAGACATCAGACTAGGGATCTACTTCAAGGTCTTTATTCAAAGAAAGTAAAAGTCTTGCTAAAATGCCAACTTTGAAATATTTTTCCTTGGTTGCTGAAATAATGAGTTAGATAGCTCTGACTCTCTAGAAATAAGTAGCCGACTCTAAGCTACAGTTTTAATTCTTTCTGGTGAAATGATTGGATTGATTCTGTGGTGGTTTTTTTTTTTAACTAATCCTATTTACAATTAATTAATTTTGTTCTGTCACTGCCTAAGCCATGGTACTTTGTCTCTGAATTTAGTTCAGAAATTCAGCTGGCCTGTTATGAGTTAAATTTAGAAATCCAGTTCTCCTGCTAATCACTGTTATATTTTTGCTTCAAAGATATTCCTGCTATCTATACACCACTGAGCTATCGTTCAAGAATATCTGGTTTGTTATCTAAAGAAGTCTGCTCTACTATCTCTAACCTTGCAGGTGGACTCAAACAATGAACATTTCTTGTCTTAGGAGAAAAGCATGGGGTTGGTGCTAACCCCACATTCCCAATTTCCAACTAATCATATTAGTTCGCACACCTCAACTCTGTTGTTGTTATTTCAGTTGTTTCAGTGGTATTCAACACTTCATAACCCCATTAGGGCTTTTCTTGGCAGGGATACTGGAGTAGTTTGCCATGGCCTTCTCCAGCTCATTTGATATATGAGGAACTGAGGCAAACAGGGTTCAGTGACTTGCCCAGGGTCACACAGCTAATAACTGTCTGAGGCCAGATTTGAACTCATGAAGAAGAATCTTCCTGACTTCAGGCCTGGTATTCTATCCACTGCACCACCTAGCAGCCCTCAGCTCTGAAAGCAATCACAGTGATTTTGCCATTCATAACACAGAGCTCTTTTAACCAATTATAACTTGTTCCCTGCCTATGAAGTCCTGTTCTTTGTTCTGTACTCCCCAAAACTATATAAGAGAACTGCCCCCCTTATGTGGTGGCTAAGCTTTGCTGAGGAAGCTGAGATCTCATTTATTGGTAAATTTGTGCTTTACTAATAAATCAAACTTTGTGCTCAGAACTTGATGCCTCAGTCTGCCTTATTTTAACTGTTACACTGGTAAACATTTGTTCATACATTTAGAATATGTCCTTCAGACTCCTTGGGAGATCAACCCCAGGAAACACTGAGTACAATATTGTAAATCAACTCTGACCATAGTAAGGACGTCTTATGCACATAGCACTATGCTTGGAATTGGGGAGGGGGTAGTTATTATACAAGGCAACATCCTTGCTTTTATGTAGTTAATAGTCTAGTAGGAGAAAATACAGATTACTATAATAATAACAATAATTAATAACAACAGCTAACATTTCATGTACCTAAAGGTTTGCAAAGTGCTTTACATACAGTATCGTTTGATATTATTTGATCCTTCCTCACCACAACTCTGAGGTTTTTTTAATTAATTAATTTATTTTTAGTTTTCAACAATGACTTCCACAAGTTTTTGAGTTTTTAATTTTCTCCCCCTCCCTCCCCAAGATGACATGCAATCTGATATAGGCTCTACATTTACATTCCTATTAAACATATTTTCACATTAGTCATGTGGTAAAGAAGAATTAGAGGAAGAACCACAAGAAAGAAGAAACAAAACAAAAGAGAAAAAAAAGAGCAAATAGTATGCTTCCATCTGCATTCAAACTCCATAGTTCTTTCTCTGGATGTGGACAGCATTTCACATCATGAATCTTTTGGAGTTGTCTTAGATCCTTGCATTGCTGAGAAGAACTAAGTCTATCAAAGTTAGTCATTGTACAATGTGGCTGTTACTATAGACAATGTTCTCCTGGTTCTGGTCACTTCACTCAGCATCAGTTCATATAATTCTTTCCAGGTTTTTCTGAAGTCCACCTGCTCATCATTTCTTATAGCACAACAGTATTCCAGTACATTCATGTACCACAACTTGTTCAGCCACTCCCCGATAGATGGGCATCCCCTCAATTTTCATGTTTGGTTTTGTTGTTCAGTAGTTTTTCAGGAGTCTTCCTGCCTCCGGCCCCCATGCTCTATCCGCTGTGGCAACATCAAGCCGCTCCCAAACCCCTTGTGAGACAGATATTATTATTATTGTTACAATTTTACAGATGAGGCTGAGAAAGATGAGCCCAGGAACATACAAAAAGTGTCCAAAGTAGGCTAAAACCCAGGTCAAAACTGCCTTCCAATACACAGTAATACTATATAAATGCATTAAAGGAGTGAAAACATATTACTCTAAAACCCTAGTGTAAGGAGGGCAAAATCATAATTAATAGGAGGAATCAGGAAAGACTTCCTGGAAGCGGTATCATTAGAATTGTGATTCAAAAGCTGAAAGAAGACAAGTCTGGTCCAAAGCAAGAGAGACAAAAGCGGTGACAGTGTGTGGGAGATGGGGAGCAATTCAGTGTGGCTAGTGTTTAGAGTATGTGGATGAGGAGCAGTGCAAGAAGATCTTGGGAAGGAGGGTAGAGCTGCGGAGGAGGCAATAGGGGAGTCATTAAAGATTCCTGAGCAAAGGAGTGATAGGCTTTAATTGATGCATGAAGGACTCTAGTCCGGCATCAGGATAGGAGTCTGGTGTAACCACCCTAGTCAGGTAAGAAGCATCAATGGAATACCACTGTGCTATGAGAAGTGATGAACAGGCAGATTTCAGAAAAACCTGTAAAGACTTAAATGAACTGATGCTGAGTGAAGTGAGCAAAACCATGAGAACATCATACATATTAACAGCAACTAACTTTGTTAGACTTAGCTCTTCACTGCAATACAATGATCTAAGACAATTCCAAAAGACTCATGATGGAAAATGCGATCCATATCCAGACACTGAATTACGGAATCTGAATGCAGATCAAAGCATACTATTTTCTGTTTTTTTCCCTTTCTTGCTGGTTTTGCCTTTTGTTCTGATTCTTCTTTCACAACATGACTAATGCGGAAATATGATTGTACAGGTATAGCCTATATTAGATTGCATGTCATCTTGAGGAAGGAGAAGGGAAAAAAATTTGGAACTAAAATTCTTGTAAAAGTGAATGATAAAAAAAAAAGAAAAAGCATAAAAGAAGAATGAAGCGCCTATCTCAGACTATCTCAGATGACTACCTTTGGAGTCAGAGAATATGGATTTGAATTTTAACTCTGCAGCTGACTTCCTCTTAGACCCTGGGCAAAATACTTACCTCTCTAGGCCTTACTTTCCTTATCTGTGAAATGAGAGGGCTGAACTAAATGGTCTCTTTCAGTTTTTCAACCCTAAGTTTTCCTGTACCAATATGCGGGGTGTCCCAAAAGTCTTGGTGCAGTTTTAAGCAACTATTTAAAGCTTCACCAAGACTTTTCGGATGTCCTGCATCAGAAACAGTCTTTACAATTCCCCGAAGGGGTTCATGGGTGGCTCTCAGTTTGCTGGATGAGCTGTTATATCTGGGAGTATGGCAATCAAGGTTAAGTGACTTGCCCAGGGTCAAGCATCTCAGGCTAGATTTGAACTCAGATCCTTCTGACTCCAGGGCAAGTGCTCTATCCACTGCACCACCCAATTCCCCTGAAGCACCTTCTCTGACCTCCACATTCATTTCTCAACTTTTGGAATATCTGTCTGACAGACACTGATAAAGGAATCCATTATCTTCAGCCTCCATCTTTAGGATAAAACAAAAACCAGGCCTTAAACACATGAACTGAGCCCCAAATTCAATGTAACCAGAGCATCTGTCTGTCCCTGCATAAACATCTGGCACTAGAGGTCATTGCAGAAGTGACACTTTCAAGTTTCCTCTCCTCAACATCTCAACTTCTATTTCATGGATGACACTCAAGAGAAGTTGAATTGCACACACGTAAACATCTTAGACTTCCCCTTAATGCCAAACATTCCATATGGTGAGCGTGCCGACAAGATTTCAATTAGATGGGATTATATGGGAGTACAGTGGGAAAGCGCAGCCATTTTTCATCCCCCACGTCCCTCATTTCCCAAGGAAGGCTTAAGATCACTTCTCTAAGAACAAAGACCAGAAGCAGCTTCATAAAAGGCAGAGGGAGGGAGAACAGGAAAAGAAAAGACCAACCACCCCAGCTGCAGAGCTGAGGAGAATGTTCTCCTGTCGGAGCGCTCACGTGAATCTGCTCTGTTTGTTAATGAGTGATACAATGCCATTGTGGAGTCACAAAGCGTCTTGCTCTCCCGAAAGGGCAGCTTGTTGCTTAGACAATTCCATGTATTTTGGCCTTGGAAAATTAATCCCACGTTCGGCAATGAATGCCTACCGTGGGGCCCTGCCCCCCCCCATATTTCTCACTAGTGAAAATCCTGGCAAATCCAACGATCCCAATGAATATGCTGCTTTGTGACCTTGAAACCCATTCAGCTGAGAAATATCCACATGTCCAGAAGAGTGTCAGAGGACGTGTGCACAACCACACTTTACATTCCATTATCCCAGAGCTCAAACCCAATTCACTCTGCAGTAGTTCTGTAGGGTCTTAAGGATTCAAGGTAAATGGGAGCCATAGTAATGTGCATTGTCAAAATCCTTCTGAATACAGAATGCTTAATCCGGCTTAGGGAGGCAGGTCGGGTGCCCTGAGAGCCAAGGGAATGACTTCCCAAAGCTAGTGTGAGGGTAAAAATAAATAG